TGCTGACTTTTACTCTTATGACCTCATTCCTGATTTCATCTCTTCTAGTCACTCCTGTCGCACTTCGCAGAGATCTCATTTAAATGACTGACAACTTAATATTGCTGTAACTATAATGTAACTTACTTATCAATGAGCGGCACCAGTGCATCCCGCATACTTCTGATAAACACTTCTTTCTTCTCTGGCTGTTCTGTGATCATTTGATCTAAAGACCTGTGGGCTCCTGAATCCTGCATATGACAAAAACACTCTCATGTGCAAAATGGAGATGAGAAGTATACCTCTCAAAAGTTGTTTATTCACACAGTGAGTAACTTTTAGTTTTCAGAAAACCATTCTTTTAGCTTACACAAGACAGAAGTCTCAATCTTTATATTTATTGTCTGATCTTGTTCAGAGATAAACACAACCGAAAACTGTGTTACAAATGCCAAACCTAGGCACTAACAAAATAATAAGAGTGGAAACTAACAAACAATGTGTGAAATGAGATATTTGAGAAAAGCAGTCAACATAACAAACAAGAGACCATAAAAGAAACAAAGATATTTAAATGGTGGGAACAACACCTGTAATTAGATTTATTGAAAAACAAAAGATTGAAATGGTTTGGCTATCTTGTCAGAATAAACCCGGCATCACTGGTCGCAACAGTATAGAACATGATAATGGAAACACCAGAAGGCAGATAAAAGCCGAAAAAGAAGACGGGTAGACGGAGTTAACAACTTACTGAAACTAAACAAAATCAACATGCAGCAAGCTAACGAGTGCACACTATCCCAGAAACTGAACATTAGCCACGCCTGCAATACCTGACAACCTTTAACAGAGAAAGAAAACAGATATTGTTCCCTAATGTTCTCTTTATAGTCCTTGCCACATGCCATTGGTAGTCATGTCTATCTGGCACCTTGTGTTTCGTGTACTTCCAATCATTTCTGACAGATGATTTTCCATGCCATGATGTCAAACTGTCCAGCATCTTCTCTCTCAGTTTGCCACTGAATCTCCTCACCTCCAACTTTTCCATCGTCACAATGTACTCCAGTTTTCTCATCATGACATAACCAAAGAATTTAGATTGCTTGCTACTGATGTGCACAATCAGTTCTCTCAGTGAGTCTGTTCCTTACTGTGGTAGTGCTGTCATGATTCATATGATTTATTATGCTATCCCCGTTCTCAAGCAGGTAAACTGACAGGGCTACAGATTAAGATTTCAGCCCTTTCGTGATAGATGCGGGGGAAAAGATGGCAGGAACCTTCACGAATTCTCATTTAAAAAAAATCTGAAACAGATCACTAACAAATTTTTAAAATAATTATCTTAATATCTAAATTAAAAAAGAAAAATATAAAAAGGGAGTAAACACAAACAGGGCAAGGCATTTAAATGAATACATTCTACAGGGTCTAACAAATGTATCAGGTGACTCACATTGTAACCCCTAAACATTCTTAGGCACACTGTTACCCCTAAACATTCTAAGGCACACTGTAACCTCAAAACATTCTAAGGCACACTGTAACCTCAAAACATTCTAAGGCACACTGTAACCTCTAAACATTCTAAGGCACACTGTAACCCCTAAACATTCTAAGGCACACTGTAACCCCTAAACATTCTAAGGCACACTGTAACCCCTAAACATTCTATGGCACACTGTAACCCCTAAACATTCTAAGGCTCCGTTCAAATTATGACATCAAAATGTCTTTAAAAAGCCAATTTTTTTCACACACAAAAACCAGAAATGATATTATTCTAAGTTAAATGAATTCTTCTTATTCTTGTACAGCAGCTGTGAATCCCGGCGGAAAGTCCTGGTTGTTAGTCCAACTGGACTTCTGGCTTTGCACCAGGACCTGAGTTTTACATGCAATATCTGTTTTACTGGCTTTTTTTGTGCGCAGTTATCTCTATCGGACATCTGAGCCTACCCAGCAGGCAGATAGTGGCTGTCATGGTGTACCTCAATGTGGTGATGAAGATGTTGAGGGCTGACAGGATGTAGGTAGACAGGATTTTCCTGCAAGAAACCGCCCACAGGAGATGCTACTCATCTAAACTGTGGGTAAATAAATCCCTTGGTCAAGGGCGGAGTCTCAACGGTTCAGTTTTTCTCTCACTCGACAAACTTTTATTTGTGGTATAAACAGCAAGCAGACTTTACTCATGTTCTAAGTGAGTTTTCAGAGACTTTTCCACCCATGCTTTTGGGGTGGACTGATTTGAGCCAGGCTGGACACTATATCTCTGGGGGTCACCAGCTCCGAGATCCCCTGCCAGCTCTGTTAATGCTCATAGCTCCCCTGCCAGCTCTGTTAATGTTCATAGCTCCCAGATCCCCTGCCAGCTCTGTTAATGCTCATTTGAGACATCCGTGGTGCATGACCAGGGACATGCAGCAGGAGTCTTGTACGCGGTTCAGTAAAACCAGCACAGGGAAGGCTAGCACCCTAGG